ATAACTTTCTGTAACTTTTTTCTATAACATTCTATACCTTTCTATAACTATTTCTATAGCTTTCTATAACCCCTGTAAGATTATAATTCTGTCTTCCACAAGTTATGGTCTTCTATTGTTTTGATAATCATAACCTTCTTTGTACCAGTCTTACTTTCATAAATATCTACTCTAAGCTGACGTTCCTATGACATAGAACTGGGAACCGATGAAGCCTAAGTAGAGGTTGACATAGGACAGGAAAGTTATACCAGGGAAAGAAAGAGTGCTGATTATCATCTTTGATTTAGCATTGATGACAAATCGTATCTTACCTTTGCTATCGTTAGAGTTTAGGATCCCAGTTTTACTTGTAAATACTACTATTTTCGTTTCAGCTAGGCAGACAACCTTGATCTTCATATGTAAGTAGCTAAAAAACACGACAATATGAATTCTGTAACAGCAATTCTGCCAAGGTTTTTTCTTCCATACAGCTGCTGAATTTGTATTGTTCAGTCAGACAGCGCATTTTTATTGCAAATTGTTATTTAATTAATCGTATACGTTTTTTGAAAATAATGCTTCTCTCTTAGGGCAGATAAGTTCATTATGACGGAGAACAACATTTTCAAGTTGTGTGTTTATTGTGTTAAATCTATGATGCAGTATTGAGGCTACTAGATGAAAAAATACAAATAATACGGAAAAGAAAGTAAGCAGAGGTTTAGTGTATTTTCTTCCTTTTTTCATTTGTAGAGAGGTTAGGGATTTTTTTTGGTTTAATTACACATAAAATGGAAAGAGTTCCATGACTTTTTCTGTTGTTCATTGCAGAAGTATTACAATTATTTTCATCACTTATAAAGTAAGAAAAATGTTCTGAATAAATACCTAAGTAAACAGAATACATTTATAAAGCCCTGCCCTGCCAATACATCTTTAATTGCAGGTAGCCGTATTAGTTCAGGTACGAAGGTTACATTCAAGGCAGGTAAAATGAAATAAATCAAACCCCCAAAACTTCATACGACTAAAACAAAAACTAACATTGATCCTAATCCAAGCATATTGATATAATAAAATCAACTTTCGACTTGAGATTTTTGTGTACTTAAGACTTTGAAAGAAGAATCTTTCCTGCTTTTTATTTAGTGTGGCTCTAGCCATAACTATTTTAGCATACATTTTCAATCTAAATCTTAAACCACCAGGATTTGTCCATCTACATACTTTCAAAAATTGGTGACAAGTGACAAGTTGTTCAGGCATTTTTTCATTATTACTTTAGCCCTGATTTCTGATATGGGAAGATAAAACTGAACCTCCAAACATAAATGAAGAATTGTCTAAACTACTCCATCCACAGAAATGCAATAGCCCAAAGACAAACAAGGAAAAGGAACGGGAACTGGCAACAGGGCAGGATGTCACTTACTTATTGTAGTTCAGGACGGGTTTTTTAATAGTCTGGGTGAAATGACTGGTTGCAGTCCCATTTCAAGTAGATGGGTATATTACACAAGAGCAAACACCTCAAAGTTGTCTTTCTTGATAACTTTACTTTTAGAAATGGTGCACTGACTGCATCTGAGACATGAAGGGAGGCAAACCGTTGGAGGACTACGAGCTAAAGCATATGATTTTATTTAATCAGAGACACATGCAGAATTCAGATGGCTATTCTTTCTTTTTCTCTAGATGTAAAGTAAGAATATAATTATAAGTAGTTCTACTTTTCTGGCTGGATGCTTAATTAGTTTGCATGATAATGAGAGAACCACAGATAACATCTTCTGATGTTATAATAACATGCAAAAAGCAATGGTCGTTTTGCTGATAAGCTGAACTGTATTCTTTTTGCATTATAGTTTCCTGCAATCTAGCAGTGTTCTACCATGGAGCCATTCATGAGCACATGAATTGCCTGCATATGTCTTGCCCAGCATTGGAAAGCTGCATACTAAAGTCTAGAATCAATGTCATTTTGTACAACATCACAACAGGTAAGTAAGCATTTCATTTATAAAGGCTGAAAACATAGCAACTATAGGAAATGTTAAAATTATACTAGGTCAGTTGCTGTGCTAGCAGACCTTCTGAAGTAACATGCAATGCTAAAAAAGCGTAAGACTTTTTTCCTTTTTCATTAATGTCCCTACTTCTGAGATCACTTCTCCCCTTTCTTCCATTAAGTATACGAGAAAGAAACTTGAACATATACCCTGCTCTCAAGATTCAAGCTCAGAGTACCTAATCAATACTATGCTTGGGTAAAATACCGTACCGTATCTGGGAGATGGAGAGGCAAGGCTGCTGCTGCTCTATGTCCCCAGAGCCAATCAGTAGAAAGGCTGAAAATTTATTCCCAGTAGGCACATGTACAAAGAGCAGGCATACATACCACATGTACACGTATACACACAGCCAGCCACGCAGGTAACACAGACAAAAGCATAAAGCAGACACACGAACACAGGTAGCACCAAGAGCCTCATCCTGCTTTTCCTGGCTGTACAGGATGGGGATCTGCTAGTGAAAATACACATACACACATATGTACAATGCGAATGCACCAGCAGCTGGGCTCAGACACTTAGTCTACCCAGTCTGAACCCCAGTCTCCCCAGTTGCTGTCACCCAGACATACAAGCCCCCGAGGGTGCAGCCCCCCTCCAGTTGCTGGTGCAGACCGTTTCACACACACACACAGAGCTTGCTGGGACTCCCCTACACCCCAGCAGCCCAGATCCCTCCCTTTTCCTCACCTTTGGTTCCTTCCCTAAGCATCCCACAGTAAGTCCTGTGCAATCCCTTGCACCCTGTAAGGTCTCCCATGACCGGGCAGTGACACCCCCAGTCCAAAAGGCGTTGATGGGTATAATTTGAGCTCCCCAACCTACCATTGTCCCCGCATGCTCCTTTTGTGGGTGTGCAGGCAAGCTTTTATCACATAAACTAACATTGTTTATGATTTAATAGGCATTGATCCAGATCTTCTTATTTTTGAAAAACTGAGATCCAAAGAGCCAAATACACACTCCCCACCAAGTAAATACGAAAGGCAAAACAGCACGAAGACCACCGAGTGGGAAAGATGCTGGCATCATAACGCCACGTCAAGTTCTCTTCTGCTCCAAGCTCCATCTTCTACCACTAGCCACGGCTTAACAGCAAACACTTACACCTCCAGCACGAGCCTGACGGTCCAAAAAACTGAAGTTACTGCTTATTCCAAGGCAGAAACTCTTCCACCAGATGATCATTTTGCAAAGTGGACAAGCACAACTTCAGCAAGCACTAAGTCAATCACCAGCTCAGACAAGAAGACCGCACCCTCGACTTCGATATCCGAATCTGCCGAGGTGTTATCCCACATGCCCACTCCTCCTCGTCTGAACAGCAGTAAGCAACACTTAAATGAAACCAAAGGCTACAGTGGTAGGAATTATACTTCGGATAATGAGGCACCTGCTTGGGAAGCTGCAGCTTTGGGCGTCTGGTTGATTCCTGTTGTTCTTTGCTCTTCTCTCATCTTCCTCTGCTGTTGTACTGTTGCTTTCACAGCAGGGCGTTGCAGCAATAGGAGAGGTCAGTATAAGCCCATAAGGAGGAAAACAACAATGTCGAGACAATTCATAAAATACACTACTGTCAAAGGTAATTTGTAAAATACTGTCACCATCCTTGTTTTGGAACAAATAACTTTTTAAAAATGGATCATATCAGCTTTTTTCTTTTATAGAACCAAAGATAATTTTTTTCACTCATCGTTTCAGAATCTTTCGGTTGTAATTAAATTCTCGACAGATGAAACACAATTCCCGTGTCTCATAGCTCCCACTGCATGCTCAGAGGTGTCTGAGCACATTTTGGTTCATAATGTGACCCAGACTAATGCCTAACAAACAGTAAACACTTCCCTAACTTAAGAGGGCAGATTCACTGCAGCTGTACATATCCTTTCCTCTGACTTTGAACTAACCTGAGAAAATTAAGTCTAAGTGTAATCAGTAAAACTGACCAAACTTCTATACTATCATAAAATCATTTAACTCAATAATCATCCTTTAATTGCCTCAGATCTGTGTTTCTATAAAAACTGTTTTTTCTCCCAGTTCTAGATTTACCTTTTTCCCTCATTTATCCCTGATATTGAGACAAAACAATTTAGCCAGCACTCTTCACTTCTTCAAAGAAAAACACCAAAAAGAACCCAAGTCCCCAAAACTACTGAATTCCATTAACCCGTAACCAAACATCTGAGCATTCAATCTTTACGCTTTACTATTACCCCACTTCTCACTTCACTCTTCTGATAACCATCACTTCAAATGTTTTTCAAACCCCTCCAGAAGCACCTTCAGACTTCAAATGCTTTTGTAAAGTTACTTGCTCTGCAATCCATTGACAAACCCATTCTGTTATCGGCTGAAGAATACACAAATGCACCTAACATTTGTTCATGTCTTGCAATTAGCATCGTTCTGTGTTGTCCACCTTGACTTGCTTTTTCTTGCCTACTCGTATTTATCATTCGCACCATTAGTTTTTTAAAATAGGGACAGCCATTTAATATATGTTGCACAGGAATACACAACATGTTTTGAAAGTTCTGTAAGTTATAAAGCTTATATCAAGTATATAAGCTTTATAATAAACCCCCCTTTTTTTGTTTCCTCATCCTGTATACTTCATTCATAAAAGTGCTCCTCCTGAACATAAATCAAGTGACTAGATCAACAAGGTATTTCCCTGCCTTACCTTACTCAGGACGTTTGCTGAGCAAAGCAAACATTTTCAACAGTGACCGGGGTTGTTCTTCCTCTTTTAAACTTGTTGATGTCTCAGAGTTTCTCACTTTCTTCACTTCCTGTGAGAAGTTTCTATTCCCCAGACAAGTGTAAATGTTTTAAAAGGAAACAATAAAAAATAAAACTGATTGTCACATCTATGTGGCAGAAAGTGATTTTAAAACTAGTAAAATTCATGCAATGTTCAAAGACTAGAGTGATGAGGTTGTAAGGCCAAATGAATGAATACCTAATTACAGTTGAGCAGGTTGGTTTCAGAGGAAAAGACCTCGCTAAAATTACGGTTTAGCCCGCATTGATCAGCACTGTAGCTTAGAAAACTGAAGTTTAAAAAACCTCCTTGTTTATAGTATTTGATTGACCTTGTGTGCTAATTTGTATGTAATAGAAAAGAGACTGACACAGGATAAGAACATTTTAAAGAAGTGGGGTTATTTAATCAGTCAAAATAACACAAAAGAAATTCCTTCTATTTTAGCTAGGAAAATTAGGTATGATTTGTTCTTAAGGGCAGTTCTATGCTTATATGTAAAGTGATACAAACTCTAGAGATCTACTTTAAATTTGAACAAGCTGACGTTTATCATCAAATTGTACTTTCCTAGTTCATCATGTGGCTGAATCTAGCACGTAGTTTAACTATCACTACACATCTCAAATGATGAGACCCTAAGGGCTCTTCTGAGTTAGAGGAAGTTGCAGGTATTCTCCTCCAGGTTTTGAACCCCAAAAGGAAAGAAATTAGGAGAAAGAAAGGAAGACACTCTATGTTGCATCAAAGGATGAATGTGGTGATATTGTAAATAAAGAACGTATGTTTCATGTGATGTGCTCATCATCTTAGGGCAACCTTCATGGACCTGACCCTGAAATGGAAAAGGCTCAGGTCTGACTCATTTCAGTAGGAAACAAAGGCACACGTGTATCAGAGGAGGAACTCGGTTCCTCAACCTCTGGATTACTGTGACGTGCTTTCTGTCTTTTCTCCACAACTTACACTGGAAATGGTGCTGTGCACCGAGACCGTCAGCACGCTCTTTTTTAGACTAGGAGCTGCAGACCATGCGGTTCAGGATTCTCTTTGTACAGCGCCCTACCAACCATTCTCTGTCAAATTCTGAAGGAAATGTTCATGGCTCAGTGAACCACCTTTCTGTTAAAGACATAAGCACAGGCATAACTCCATTTATAAAGTCTTAACCAGAAAATGAAAAGTTTGCAAAGTTCACGTTTTGATCTCTACCACAGATAACGCTCAGGTGCTTCAAGCATCGTGACAACCTGATCAAATACATTAAATAAACAAACTGATTAACCACATACTCCAAGTCAAGTTGTGGTACGTTCCATCTCACTCAGAATGGACGACAAGCGCATTTAGTCATACGATTCTCCCACAAAACACTTCAGCCAGCAGTGTCACATCAATTCGCAATGAAAGTGCTTTTTACATCATTTTTTTCTCCCCATAATTTTTAAAACCATGTAACCAAGGAAAACACATTTTAAAACCAACATACATCTAAAATAATACAAAAATATATCAAAAGCAGATCTCATATCCAGCTAGTTACCTTTCTGCTTGTCTATTTGCTACCACATGAATAAACATCCAGTGTGATGAGGTAATAAGTACGTGTCTTACAAAATTGTCTCTTTGTTTGAAATGTTCAAAACAATCCATATGGTGAACTCTTATGTTTGCTGCCAAAGAAGGGCTCAGCAAAAAACACACTTTGAAGAACACTGCATTTTTATATGGCTAAGAGTTAAAAAGCCTAAACCTAAGCTCTGAAAAATACTTTGTAAGAGAACGAGATCTGCACTTGGTGATGCATTTCTTCAGGCTGAATAAAGCCATTAAAATTCTGCTTGTGTTCACTTTATGGTCTCAATTGCTCCCAAAGAGAAGATGTTACTCGAGAAATTAAGGCATTTCAAACCGCACAAGCTTTCAAGACCTTGCAGCACTGAATTCCAAATACAATTTCTCCTGAAAATCAGGACACATACTAAAATTATTATTGCTGTGAAATTGCGTGTAGTTTTTAGGATACAGAATTCACATGCAGGCAGCTTAGTCCAATTCAGGTAGAAAAATCATGTTCTGTTTACCTAAAAATTGCCCCATAGTTTCAGCTGGATAACGTGTTTCAGTTTTACCAGCCTAGGGTTTTGCCCAGCATTGCTGAATATTAGTTATCTTCAATTACAGAGGCAGACACATTTTGTGTTAGAATTAGTTATTTCATACTTCAGATTTTTTTTAATTTGAATATAAATTTATTTTTATTTTCCAGGTTTTAAAGACAAGAGAGCGCACACTACCTCTTTCTCCCTGCTTCACGTCATAAGATTTGCAGAACTGTTTTAACAGTTTGAAGCAGTAATCTTGTAACACAGTGTCCTTTACTCTTTAAGTTATCACACTGACAAGGATGCATTTTTGATTTAACTCGTTATTTAAGCGTGTGTGTAAAATAGGGGAAGACACGTAAATCCATAATATATCTATATATTACATATAAAAATATATAAAATCATCTATTGCTGAACTTGAAGCCACAGAAGCAGGACTGTTGCATGTCTAAGGCAACATAGTTCTTGCAGTATCAATATGGGTAACGTTCAAGGCAGGACACAGAAGTAAACGTGAACTCTCTCTTCTTCCTGTACCATTAAGACATTACTATTCTCAGATAAATATTATGCAACTCAACTGAAAACCGATAGGTTCTAACACATGCTAATACCTTCATTATACAAAGCTTGCACTAATTTCACTGTCCCCAAGTCCTTAGTATCCATTCTTATCCTGACTTTTCTTCCTATTCAGGCTGGGCTGGTACCTAAACACCCCACACAACATCTGCGGACAGTCTGCTGCGCTGCACGCTCAATAGTGCTCGGCCTCTTCCACCTTCTTTAACTCTTCCTTTGCTACAAATGATCCTCCACAGCAGCTTGATTCAAGAACAAAGAAGAAGAGCTAATCTTAAGGGACAGATACTACTGTTAGATTTTTTATTTTTTTTTTTAAAAAAAAGCAAATCAACTACTGAAAAAGTGAAACCTTGCTATTCTTCACCAGGGATGTCCTACACCGACAAATGCAAAGACCAGCAAAGAAATCCTTTCACTAGACGGGATACACTCCAACATGCCAGAAACCCAAACCTCTGCCAGAAGGCATTCGTTTTAATAGAAAGAAGTCATAGGTAATATACTATTTGCTTTCAAACAGGTGTTTTTTTCACCTCCTTTTACTCTCAGAAAAGTAACTTCTACCTGATTGTCCTACCTACTCCCAGGCATCCATGGTTTGTTCCTCTCCAGATTAGTGACTGTGTAGTACACCTAACACCACCTTGATGCTCCTTTGATATTTACCCTCAATATTATGTTCTGTAGAATCATACAATGCAACTAGCACTTCAATACTCACCAGATAAAGAAAATGAGACAGAAGTGAAAATTTCTATCTATCCCACGCACAAATGCTTCTGGGGCAGGACAGAATGACTAAAACATATAAGATCACGTTCTGGAGAGTCTTCTTGGTTTGTTGGCATGTAAAGAAAAAAATAGGCAGGGAAAGGGTTAGCAGCAGGACTATTTTATTACAGACTAGGAGACTCCCAAGAAAATAAATACATACATTTTAAGTATGAGGGAAAACAAGTAATGGGTAGAAAGCTGGTTTGTCCAGACAGCACATTCTCTTTTAGGTAACTGCTCCTTTATCCCTTACTTGTGCTTCTAGCAATGCTACGCATGAAAACACGGCCAAAAGTGCCAACTGCAGTCAGGGGTATAAATCAGTTCCCTGAAGAGCACAAGATTCTCTGTAGGGATTTATCAACTCTTCACGCACAGCCAGTCACATTCAGGTCTTAGGGCTCAGTGAACTTACAAGTAGTTGTGACATCTACTCCCCTTGCCAAAGACTGAATTATGTCTCTGTACAGGCCTTCTTGTCTAATCTGAGCAAGAGATTATGCTTAGTGTCCGACAGCCCTTCTTTAAAGGGCAAAATTGTGATAGAAATAGACAAAACAACCTCAAGAAACCATTCAGTGCCACTTTGAACATTTCACTTCACAACTCCTAGCACGCTGTTTACTAAAGACATCTTATGCCAGCGATTACAGTAGTTTCTAGATGCACAAAATTAGCCAGAATACGCACAAAGCAAATTCTTTTCCATTTTGACCAAGCGCTAGATCTCAACCTTTCTTTGGAATGTTTACATGGGAGATAAAAGAAAGGTTAGACTCCTCAACAGCACCACTGAAACCATGCATCACAACTATTCCAGATGGCCAAGAACTTAATGCGTGCGAGGTTTTTTTCCATTGGAGACAGCTTATTTTTCCTTGCTGTAAGGAACTTACTTTTCCAGTTTGCGGGGGCAAGTGTTTGGATTTGAAATGAGACATCTGCTACTTGGAGGTTAGAACAGTGACCGCAAAGAAGCACATATAGTAGCCTTCCTGCTCAAGTTTCAGTTTGCGATGGACAGGGTTGCCTGAGGTCAGGCCTGTCATGAACTAGCTCCATGTTCCTCTTGGCCAGTAAATACCAGTAAAAGAATTACCTATGGAGACAGCCAATGCCTCTAGATATTATGTGTGGTTTTTTTGCTCTTCCTTCCTTTCGAATTTATGCACTGGGGGCCTAGCCTGCTTCTTGATTTAAGTGTTATCTATCTACATTTCTATTTAAAAGTAACAAGACTGTACATACACACAGGTATGTACAGAGGGATACACACCTTAGAGTCATGCATTCACAATATAATGTACCTGATGCATTAATAAGAACCGTTGCTAAGGATGTACTTATTACTGTGCTGTAGAGTTGCTTAACCTGTAAGTCTATCACTCTTTAACTGTTCACAGTTCTTAAACTCCAGTGCAGGTTTCCAACGAGATGGTCTGCAGGGGTATTTTACAGGAAAATAAAGATGTATAGTTGAGTTCATAAAAACATGTGCTATATCATACATCATGAAGGTTGGGAAGACTCCTGTTGGAGTGAAGATCCCAGTGTTTGACATATTCTACGTAATCACAGAGAAATATTGCCACCCTCAAACACAAACGGTTTAAGAGGGAGAAGCAGAAAAACAGAAAGAGAAACATCCAAGATGACAAAGAGCTCAAAATACAATCCAGTCCACTGCATTACACAACTCCTGTACTTTAACATATATACCATTAGTAAAAATCACAAGCGTAACTCTGAATTTTGTATCGTTCGATTCTACCAGCTTGATTGGGCATTTACAGGATTATAAAGGTTTTTTATTTTGCTTGCATGTTGCTTAGCGAGGAGAGGAAGTGAAGACGACACAGAGGTCAATCTTGCCGATTCCTAAGGCCAGCTGGCCAAGTGTTCTATAGCCATAAGGTCATTAAGCCAGATACTACTGGACAATTGCTCTTTGACAATTAATTTCTGACGGCAAGTGTTGGATGTGGTTAGGCAACACAGTGAATCAGTCCCAACATTTTTCCTGGCCAGCAGGTATAACCTATTGTTGGTAGGGACATTTGAGCATCCTGACACTCAGGAGACAGCCACCTTTTATCCGGCCTGTATTTCTTGAAAAGTTTACAGAAGGTATATAAACTAGGCTTGAACACTTCAGATGGAACCCCAGAAGCTTGTGCGTTTCAGGTTTTCCATGAATTAGCTGTGAAGCTAATGAAATGCTAATACAGTCAAATAAAAAATCAATTTCCCTTGCTGTGCTGTTCTTTCTCCCAGCCATCATTATTAGGAAAGTCAAATTGCTATTTTAACTACAACTTTCATACAGAGTTCTGCTTAAGTCCATTTTAAGCCTACGAAGAGCAAAGGAAAACTGAATTGTCCTCTGTTACAAAGAAGATTTTACCAGGTGCTCAGATGTCCCGAGTACGTAAGGAGAACTTTATGGAGAAAAGCAAGCTTATGGGGGTTTGGGTTTCTTAAAACATTTAAGGGCATTACTCATGACAGCCTGGTACAAAACACGTCGCTGCAAACCACAAGTTAGTTACATATGCTTGCGAGTACACCGGTCCTTATGCAAGCACTGACAAAGCTAATTAAGGAAACAAATTTCTCTTGTATACATCCTAGAACCAAACCGCCTTTGGAATAAAGCCAGGCACAACTCCACCATTCATACCATTCTCTGAGTCAAACTGCAGTTTGACTACTTCCTCAGTAATTTTGGTTTCATGGCTGTTCAAAAAAGATTAGGAATTACACAGATTTCAAATTAGAACTTTAAACATTACCCCCTCATTATCCCTAAATAAAGGAACAACCTGAGAACAGCTAAAACTTTCCCCATATTAAGCTTCTGCTAAAACTTCACATTAATACAAATCTAAAAGGAAGGACCACTAAATAACCGCGTTGGTAAGTGCAAAATTGGCATTACACAACAAGCATTTTCAATCTTAGCTACAGCTCTGGCAAATTCTCATGGGGAGTAAAAAGCTGCATTAAACTCAGTCTCCTGCCATATGAAAACAATCTCTACCTAAGATGAATCCTTCCAAAACTGAGTGTTTTGGAAATGACAGTACATACACTCTTTGGCTGTACGTAAACACAAACCAAACAATGAGAAATCCTAGCAGTGAGTGAGTTGAGCCACATGGCACCCTCTGCCAAAATCAATTCCCTTCAGTTTTCAGTGTCCTTATTCTTACACTGTTTCCTCTCGATGAGTTGCTGGCAGGGTCACACGCTAGGTTCTTTTATAGGTATGCAAAATCCTTAAGTCCAGTGAATAAAATCTCCCTCCGCTCCTTCCAGAAAATGAACACTTTCTCTCTAAACTGAAATCTTAGTAAGCCAGGAAGGTACAATAAAAGCAAGAATAGAGTTATTTATGTCCTTTCAAGCTGGAATTTCTAAAGTCTGGCTTTTTTTCTTCACCATGAGAGGGCAACAAACGTTGCCTGTGATTCCAGTGTTTCAAACCAATTCCCTTCAAATACAAATTACCAAATATAAGATAAACATCCACATAATTTCTTTTTCTGTGCTTCACAGCGGTAAGCTGGATGCTACCAACGTTTTATTCCTTGAAGAGCCTGGGTACGTTCAAGAGACAACTCAGCAGGCTTCAGTGTACCAAGACTCAGTCCATTCCTATTTAAACTACATACCCACCTCACTACTCACCACCTCTCGCTTTGAGCAACTCTTATCATTCTTCCTTTCCCATGTACTTTGGTATCCTGTCAAGAATTGCTACTTCACTTTCCCACTAGCATCCCATTTTCTACCTTATTTTACTCCATCATTTTAGAAACAGGTATTTTTACTTAGGGTATTTGTTAGCCCTCGTGATGACAACCGACAGAACCTCATGCTGTTCAGTGCGCTTCAATACCTCTCCAAAAGTTAAACAACTTAGGCAACATTATCTTTATTTTACAGATAGGGAGTACAGAGAGAGAAAAATATGAGTGACATTTGGAAGTAACTGAGACAGTTTAGAGCTCTTAATTTTCAGACTCTTCATTAATGGCACTGGGAACCTAAGTAATTTCATTGTTTTTGACAATGTTGCTCTAAGTTCTATGCCAAAAGAAGTTGTGGGAGCAGTCAGAATGGGATTAAGCAGTGGACTGAACCAGGATCTCCCAAGCTAAGCAAGCACAGATTAGAACGTTCAAGTCACCAGTATGACTCAAAACATACTTTATTCAAAGAACAAGATTCATGGACAGGAAAATGATGTTTACAAGAAAATCCAGCAGTAAAGAAAAATCTGATTACCGTTGAAATTAACTCATCGTCAAGTTTCATATTTTTGATTAAGGTTCTGAACAATTATATATCCATATCATATAGAAATATTAACATAGGAGTTTAATATTTCTGTAATAATCAGGTGTACCTGCAGAGTGTGCTTTCACGGTAATGCTTGTATATTCAATAGTTTCTTCACCGATTCCTTATACTGAGACATGTTATTTTCCGTTTCACCTTCATTTTTAAGTGCAATTACAGAGTTTCTGTAATTCTTAACCACTTCAGATGCAAGAAGCTCTTCCTTAGTTACATTACTGACATTCTCTGAGGCTTTTATTCGAAGTAGCGTATCCAAGGCATTTTTCTGAGAGGAGCTATTTTCCCAGACGTACTCTTCCATGTCTTCCTCAGTCTTCTCACTCTCCCACATCTCAGTTTTCTGGAAGAAAATATACATCATCTTAAAAACTACTCGGGATTGAAACAAAGCTACAATAATTTGAAGAAGCTTCTCTCTCGTACCAATTCACTTTAAAAATTGTTGTGGAAGGTATTTTCCCTCCTTTAAAGTACAAGGTTTGTAACTCAAGCCTCAAACAGAGTTCAAAAGGTGCCTGTATGCTGTACACTTTCTGTGCAGAATGAGTTTCTCTCCTCCCATTTATCAAGTTCTTTATGTATCTAGCAGATATAACCAGGGGAGTCAGAATGGGAAGAAAAGCTTATGGACTATGCATAATGAATAGCAAAAAACCCTTTTAAAACGACTAATTTTAAATAACCCTAAATGCTCATGCTTTGGAAGGAGCCACCTACTATTATGTCCCTAGCATATGATTTTGGTATGTTTACATTGGCTATAAGATGCGAAGTGAGACAGCTCATACCAAGTAACCTACGATGGGAGACAGTAATCCTTCACCATTTGGGAAATGCTTTAATTGTGACTCAAGGAAAAGCACCACCAATTAATCCATTTCCTCCTCCTGCAAACAAATTGCTCCTCAAAAGAGCCTCTATCTCCAAGGTGCTAATTTTTCCCTAATTAGCGTTGCAAGATTAGACAGGATCAGAAGTTGAACACAGACAGAAGACACCATCCCAGTGCCTGTAAATACCTGGCTTGTGCAGTTGTTCTTTACCAATTTTGTCTTTGAACATTTCTCCGATTCAGCAGGCCTTCCTCTACCTTCACAGAGTGTTTAAGGGATATTTCAAATGTTATAATCTGCTATTTTTGTACATATAATTTTTATTGTACTTTGGTAAATACATATGCTTCGTAGATATATTTGTATTTTTAGATAATGTAGATTGTACATTTATTTGTATATTTATAAATACTTAGTACTTTACTGATGCAAACAATAAATAGTATACTTACATTACTTCAACTATATAAGAATCACAATTTGAAGTATTTTTGGTTGATTTTTGGAGATCATGTTTTCCTTACAATTGTTGCAGAAATCATCTCTAAATAAAACATATTTCTCTGGGAGTAAGTTCAAAGAAATACTATACTACAGCATTTACATCATATGGATTTATTTTTTTTTTAAAATCCCTTGCCAGAAAGGGCTCTTCAGTAAATGTTTAGCTATGCTATGTAGAATCCAAATAAACCTGGCAATCACAGAAGGGCTGGGTTTTGGGGTTTTTTTTGGTGTTTTTTTTGGTTGGTTTGGTGGGGTTTTTTTGTGGGTTTTTTTTTTGGTTTTGTTTTTTTTTTTAGGGGGGTAGCAGGGGATATTCTTCATTTTTCATTTGTTTATTTTAAGGTATTCTGCCCACTAGTCAACAAGGTTGCTGCAGTCAAATCACAGCATTTAATAACCTTTAATTAAGACTCTTTTTGTGTCGGCGTCCCCCCCCCCCCCCCCCAACCCTGTGTGCTTGAGTCTGTTTATCTGAATTTAAAAATACTTTCACAAATGCTGCATCCTGCACCTGGTAAATGGAATCTCTTGTCTTTTAAATCTCCAAGTCTAAATGTTTACTCAGAAACAGTGATGCACACTACTAAAAGGCTCATATGACTGACATTAAAACCTGGCCACAATACAACACAGAAGTAAAAGAACCTGAATCAATTTCTAGAGGGGGGGAAAAACCAAAAGGACATACTGTAGCCTGTATTGCTAAAACAGTAGCAGAACAAGTAGGTATAGTAAAATATTCCTTGTATGTTTGAAAAATACTGCAATTCAATGTGGAGATTTACATAGTTTTAAATTAACGACACCATCCTGTTTTACATACCCCTTGTTTATCTGCATAATGGCTATCCAAGACATTTTTTTCCTGAACTCTGAAAGAATTTTAAAGCAAAAGCTTCTCTCACAGGGATAGGGTTTCTCAAGAGTAAGGGAATATGGGTATTGCCCCTGAAGTTCAAACAAAAGATCACTGTGAGGCTTTTAAACACCTTTAAGTTATAGCAGAGACAAAAAAAAAACCCAAACCCTAATTACAGTGACTACATTTATCTCGTCAGGAAATTCCTTCTCTGCACACATTAAGTTACAGGATTTTGGAGATGCACCCTGATAACCACATTACGATTTCCCTATCTCTTTTGAGTGCTACAGAGCAAGAAGATTTTAAAGGAGGCCAAAGAAACTTAAGTATTTCTTTCTTGGAATCCTTCCCAGCAGAACGGTGTGTCAAAATGGATTTTAAAATAAAATCTGACTTCTGGGGAGGAAGAAGGCAGGAAGGGGGTTGACAGTAGGGGGAGATTTCAAAATGCATTCCTCAGCCCTGCTACAAGAAGCCAGTATCCATTGCTGCGACGTTGGTGGCCGTGCCTCCGAATGAAAAGCTATCCTCCTGTACACAGGTCCAGACATACATCACAAACAGGAAACTCAAGAGAAACCAGAGTTTGGCAAACCAACTGTATCCAGTGAAACTTAAATACCTTTCCAACCAGATTTACTGCAAGAGAAAAAGGGAACCTGGAATTATAATTTCATTTGAAAAAGTACCCTAGGTAGACAAGCACCCATGAACTCTGAATAGTGGAAACATTACAAGCGTTGTAGTCTCAGTTTAAAATGTTACGAAGAAAACTAATGAGACAACGAAAGAAACTTCAAAAATGAGGTCTTCATCACTCGAGGTTTTGTTAGTTCATTGTTTTTGTCCCCTACAAATTTAGTGTTAGTAAACAGTGCAGTAAGAGTCTTACAAACGAGAATAAAACTGTGGGAACTGGAATACAAGCGGCATTGTGTAATGCTGTTCTTGAATCCCCAGGTAGTGAATGAGGTTAAAAATCAAGAATGTGTACTTCTTCAGTGACTTCACTAAAAATGATTGCTTCATTCTATCACACCTAAGAAAGAATCTCAGTAGGTATTAACCAGTCTGGCTGAAGATGCACTTGGCTGATAGTTTCAACTGTTTTTCTTACCAAAGCTTCCAATAAGAATAACTCCTCCCTCCGCCCCCTCCAAAAAAACCCCAAAAACCCAGAAAACAACTTTTCATATAAAGTCAAAGCATCTAAACCTATTACTAAAGAGGCAGAGCGATTTTTTTTTCTACTTCCTAATACAAATATAGAGAATTAATTTTTTAATGCCATAAACAGAATAAGGATTTGTTTCTAAGCAAATCTTTTACGCTGCAGTTTAAGCCAGCATTGTGGGAGGTTTGCAAGCCTTTATAGTGCTTAATCTGAAGTGCTGACACAGTATAACTACTAAAATAATGCTCTGGCCAGTGAAATTGCTTTTTAAAAAACAGTCATTAAAAAAAAGCTTCAATTTATATTGTACCTTTAAGTATAGAAGAAAGGTAAGCATTTTTGATCACTTAAGCAGGCATTTCACCATCTTTTTTCTTGGTTTTTTCTGCCAATTTAACTTTTTTCATTTTGCAGTCACAGCGATATGGAGGAAAATCAGAATTGTCAGTTGTCTGGCTTTTCTTTTGGGGAACACATTTTAACTAAAATTTGTAAGTGGCACACAGAAATCTTCAAGGCAATTAAAAACATGACTCATGTTAGTCAATTTTCTTGTCAATGGTTTGAATAGTTAAAAATTTAATGCTGTTTAGCAAAGATCAAATACTTTACTGGGATTTTTTCTTAAGGGGAAGGAAAGTTAAGTTGCAAGTCAAATTTCAAACTCTGTATAGCCTGGAATAAAGACACCTATTTCTTAGTACTGCATTGAAAGAAAAGACACTCTGTGTGGTACAATAATCACAGATGTTTCAGGTAATACATGACAGCTATGCTAACATTTTCTGAATTACTGAGTACCTTCAATCCAAAGAGGAGTTGCCAAAACAATAACGTACTTACTTCTTTGCCTATATTACACCTCTGCACCGTACTATTAAGTTAACAACTTAAAAAGAAATATCAACATGAATTCGTAAAGAGGCAAACCATATTTGCATCTGATGAGATCGGATACAAAAAAGTTTAATCACTTGGTGATACAGAATAGGTTAAAACACATTCTTCTGAATGAGCAGAACATTATTTTCTAGGACACAGCAACGGCACAAGGCAGGAAAGACCTCTAGAGCATCAATGAAAATCAGGAGAAAGACTGTGAGGACTAAACATTCCAGTAAGGTACGAATGTAAAATAGAAAAGGAGAACAAGCAGAGACAAAAAGAACAGAACAGAAAAGAACAGTCTCAAAAAATAATACTGGATGTAAGAGATGCTCTCACATATAATGGCACTCCCAGGCTTAATCTCTGGTTCTGTTACTAACTTAAGAGTCCTCAGTAGTCACCATCATCTAGGTTGTCTCCTTCAAAAATGAGGACGCCACCTAATTTCTCTGGGCTGAAGTAGCTGCAGGTATTTTCTGGAAAATCCAGGCTTCTGAAAGGGTCATTTGTAAGGTGTCTATCTAACTCTGTTTTCTGAATGCTGATCAGATAAGATTCGGGTCTCATCACAAAAGATCAGTGATATTAAGGGTCCAAGTCTTTGATGATCTTCTGTTCATTTTGTTAATATCTATGCCCCATAAGACTTCATTTCACTTCAACATTTAGACCGAAAATTAAACAGCTGTAAAAGTGATATTTATGCATCAAAAAGGAGCCTTGTTTCTCCAGGAACTAGAAACATAGGGCTTAAACATAAGGTACTGCAAAAAGCCTACTACGGTCTGAAATAGCACAAAGACAATTTTGAATTCAACCTTTTGCTTGAATGTTCATCCCTCGTGGTTCCAAGCAAGAGGTACAAAAAAAGTTTAACCTACAATATACATTTCCTGTCAGCAAAACTCTTTCCTTTGATTTTAAATGCTTGAATTCAGAACTTCAGAGAAACTTTATTAAATTTAACATCTACTACGCCACTTAGCTTTATCTTTTCTGACTCACAGTAACAAGACTCTTTCAAGTTGTTAGATTTTGTGCACTGGTGAGTGCACAATGAAATGTAATACGTATTT